CACCTGAGTCAATAAAATAGTTACACAGTTGGTGGTACAAGAGGCCAGGAGGTCTAAAGTCTTTTACGGTTTCACATTCATCAATATAGTGTTCTAGTGAATGCATTAATGGTTTATCACAGAGTTTACAATCTGAGTATTCTGGTAGTGGCTCAGCCTCACTAACCTGCCAGATGTGCCTATAGCCAAGGCGAATTACCACAATGACTACATCACATTGCCTGGTCCGGTTACTGTGCTGACCATACAAATACCTATTATTACAAAACTTGTCATAGTTCCAGTGGAGGCGGACTTGGAGCGCCCATTGTGCCTTGTGAGATGGGACGGAACGCCCCTCAACACACGCCTCTCAACACACGCCTCTCAACACACGCCCCTCAACACACGCCCCTCAACACACGCCCCTCAACACACGCCCCTCAACACACGCCCCTCAACACACGCCCCTCAACACACGCCCCTCAACACACGCCTCTCAACACACGCCTCTCAACACACGCCCCTCAACACACGCCCCTCAACACACGCCCCTCAACACACGCCCCTCAACACACGCCCCTCAACACACGCCCCTCAACACACGCCCCTCAACACACGCCCCTCAACACACGCCCCTCAACACACGCCCTTCAACACACGCCCCTCAACACACGCCCCTCAACACACGCCCCTCAACACACGCCCCTCACGCCCCTCAACACACGCCCTTCAACACACGCCCCTCAACACACGCCCCTCAACACACGCCCCTCAACACACGCCCCTCAACACACGCCTCTCAACACACGCCCCTCAACACACGCCCCTCAACACACGCCCCTCAACACACGCCCCTCAACACACGCCACTCAACACACGCCCTTCAAACACACGCCCCTCAACACACGCCCCTCAACACACGCCCTTCAACACACGCCCCTCAACACACGCCCCTCAACACACGCCCCTCAACACACGCCCCTCAACACACGCCCCTCAACACACGCCCCTCAACACACGCCTCTCAACACACGCCCCTCAACACACGCCCCTCAACACACGCCCCTCAACACACGCCTCTCCTTCATTTAGCAGTGTTGTTGTTGTTGTAAGTTGTTGTTGACGAGATTGTGTTTGTCGTGTGTTCTTGCTTCATGTTCTTATGTTATTCCTTATTCTCTCCGCTGCTGCTATTGTGTTGTCACTGTCTGCCACCCGTGTCGTGGTGGGGTCATGTCTGCCACCCGTGCCGTGGTGGGGTCATGTCTGCCACCCGTGTCGTGGTGGGGTCATGTCTGCCACCCGTGTCGTGATGGGGTCATGTCTGCCACCCGTGTCGTGGTGGGGTCATGTCTGCCACCCGTGTCGTGGTGGGGTCATGTCTGCCACCCGTGTCGTGGTGGGGTCATGTCTGCCACCCGTGTCGTGGTGGGGTCATGTCTGCCACCCGTGTCGTGGTGGGGTCATGTCTGCCACCCGTGTCGTGATGGAGTCATGTCTGCCACCCGTGTCGTGGTGGGGTCATGTCTGCCACACGGCCGTGTCGTGATGGGGTCATGTCTGCCACCCGTGTCGTGGTTTGGTCATGTCTGCCACCCGTGTCGTGACGGGGTCATGTCTGCCACACGGCCGTGTCGTAATGGGGTCATGTCTGCCACCCGTGTCGTGGTGGGGTCATGTCTGCCACCCGTGTCGTGATGGGGTCATGTCTGCCACCCGTGTCGTGATGGGGTCATGTCTACCACCCGTGTCGTGGTGGGGTCATGTCTGCCACCCGTGTCGTGATGGGGTCATGTCTGGGTGTCGTGATGGGGTCATGTCCACCCGTGTCGTGGTGGGGTCATGTCTGCCACACGGCCGTGTCGTGATGGGGTCATGTCTGCCACCCGTGTCGTGATGGGGTCATGTCTGCCACCCGTGTCGTGGTGGGGTCATGTCTGCCACCCGTGTCGTGATGGGTCATGTCTGCCACCCGTGTCGTGATGGGGTCATG